CAACTAAACTGGCTCAATAGATAAACACCTGTCATCATGAAGTACAGTTCAATCAACATGTCTCAAACCCTGGACATAGTTTTAGGTAGAAGACATTTCACCTCTCATCCAAGAGGCTTTATCAGTTTTGTCTGACTGGTGGAGTTTCAGTCCTTCAGTGCCCAACAATGTCCTCTAACGACTGAGTCATTGGGGTCTGGTATTGGTCAGAGTCATTCCCTGTATTTGAACCCTCACATGTAGACCAATGCCTGTTGTCCTGGTGTGAATTAGGGTGGAAATGTTTGGGCAGAGATCTCAAAACAGAGTTGTAGGTGGATGACAAGTTGGGTCTTAGTCCACCACCCCTATTTAGTGAGGGGTGTTCTATTTTTACAAAAATAGCTTCCTTAACTCCTCTCTCAAACCAGCCATGTTCTCTGGAGAGGATCTGGACTAAGACAACTTGTCATCCATCTACAACTGTGTTTTGAGATCGCTGCCCAAACATTTCTACCCTAATTCACACCAGGACAATAGGCATCGGTCCACGTGTGAAGGTTCAAAGACAGGTAAGGTAATGACTCAGTCGTTGGAGGACATTGTTGGGCACCAAAGGACTGAAACTCCACCCACCAGTCCGACAGAACTGATTAAGCCTCTTGGATGAGAGATGAAATGTCTTCTACCTAAAACCTTTCAGCATACTACGACCTGGATGACAGGGAATTTGCACAGACATGCTAATAAACCAACAGCTCAATGTCTAAATGAATATCTATAGATTGATAAAATACATACTGTATATATTAATCTTTGTTCCCATAGCTGCTCTTCCATGTTGACAACGGAGCTGGACTAATCACAGCAGAGCACATGCCTGAAGGGGAGGGCTTCTGCGACGGCAAATGGCATGCTGTCACTGCCAACAAACTACGCCACAGGGTGGAGCTGGTGGTTGATGGGAAACAGAGCCAAGCAGAGAGCCCTAATACGCGCGCCAACTCATGCAACACCAATGACCCGATCTATATCGGCGGACATCCTGGTATGATTGCCTTCTAAAACACATTCTTAAATATGTGCACAAACAAAGAACAATTCAAAATTAATTGCTCCTACACATTTACATCTGCACATCATTTATGTTCTCTTATAATTATGAGATCGAGATCAGGATCTTTTAAAAGGTTATAAGGGTTATATTTGAGAAGACAGACAGTATAGGCTACCTAATGTAATTGTCCTGAACCTATATAGGTTAGTTATGTAATTAATGATCTTAAAATTGATTTTTAGGGTTGTTTCATACATAGTACTCTGAAGAATGTCACATTAAACAGATCATATCCTACTTTTACATGAAACGGGAAGTACAGTATAATGTTGTCACTGATATGAGTTACTGTGGGCTGCTGCTCGTGCTCTTCTTTTTGTGTCTGTATCAGAATCAGTTTTAATCACTAGGTATGTTGAGCATACAAGGAATTTGTCTCCGGCGCAGAGGCACAATAGTATATTTGCTTTATTTCTGCTTTGGAACACAAAGTATACTGAATTAGCTACAGTATTAACGGTTGACTTTTGTTATTGCATGTACTGACATGTACTATAGAATTTTTTAAACGATCTTGTAAGAAGTCATAATTACAAGATTGTGACCTCATAATGGAGATCTTTAATTATAATTATGAGAAACTCAAATTACAAGATAATCCTCTAGTTTTGTCCTTTGGTGAATCCATTGCACCGTTTAGGGGCACAGAAAACTAGACTAGACTAAAGAAAGTCACTTTCGGCTTTTCCCGTTTAGGGGTCGCCACAGCGAATCGTCACACTGACTACTCGCATGTTGACATTTGGTACGTGTTTTACGCCGGATGCCCTTCTTGGCGCAACCCTGATTTGAACCCTGGGCGCAGCGGCGAGCGCGCCTTAACCACTAGCCTACCAGGGATGGCTGAGAAAACTAGACTAGTCAAATTCATGGAAACTGAATATCTTTGACCACCAAAATCTAATCAGCTAGTCCCTGAGTCCAATTGGATACGTGTGCCAGATTTGAACAAAAATTCCTTAAGGTGTTCCTGAGATATCACATTCACAAGAAGTGGATGGACGGGCAACCCGGAAACACAATGCCTCCTGCCGCAGCTATGGCCAGCGCGAGGCATAACAATATACACAAAATAGATACACACTAAAATATAAGGGAGTCTGTTGTGAAATAAAAGAGCAACTTTAAATACACATTTTGTATATAAATGCATGTGTTTTCTACCTTTGTTTCATAGGTGGCGTTCGTCAGGTTGCAGTCACTACCAGCGCTTCCTTCAGAGGTTGTATGAGAAACCTGAAAATCACCAAGGCGTCTAAGACCATGGATGTGCAGTTCAACAAGGCTCTGGAGATTAAAGGAGTCCAGCCTCTCTCCTGTCCTGCTGTTGCTGCCTAACTGGAAGCACAGCCCCCCTCCTTTTTTTTTTGTCAGTTCCCCTAAAACCTCGCCAAGGAGCTACACAGGTCGATAAAGTGTGGAGTTTACAGCATTTTGGTCTTTGAAGCTGCACTGGGAAGACACTTAGTGGCAAGAAAAAGTAAGTGAACCTTTTGGAATTACCTGGTGTTCTACATGAATTGGTCATAAAATGTGATTCCATCTTCATCTAAGTCACAAGTATAGACACACATTAAGTAAATAAGCTAATCACAATTATAAATGTTTCATGTCTTTACTGAACACACCCATTATACAGTGAAAGTGCTGTTGGACAAAGTAAGTGAACCAATGGCTTTAATAACTATTTGCAGCTCCGCTGGCAGCTGTGGATCAGATCAGCATAACATTCAGGAGGAATTTTGGATCATTTTGCCTCAGAGAGCTGCTTCAGTTCAGCCATATTCCTAGGATGTCTGGTGTGAACGGCTCTGTGAGGTAATTCCACAGTATCACTATTGAGCTGAGGTCTGGGCCACTGTTCTGCTGCATCACCCAACTTCTCCTGAGTGTCCCAGTGAGAGCCCAGACCTCGACTCAGAGGTACTATGGAATGACCTCAGAGAGCTGTACATCCTAGCAATATGGCTGAACTGAAGAGGTTCTCGGAGGAAGAATGATCCAAAATTCCTCCTGAACATTATGCAGCTCTGATCCATGGCTACAGGAAGAGAGCTTTTGCTGCCGAAGGAGCTTCAGACAGTGATTAAATCCAAGTATTCATTTACTTTTTCCACCAGTAGTTTGAATGTTTAACAGAAGACATGGAGCATTTATAATTGTGATTAGCTTATTTACATTACTTTTGTCTATACTTGACTTAGATGAAAATGGAATCACATTTTATGAACAAATTATGTAGAAACCCAGGTAATTCCAAGTAATTCACTTCCTTTTCATGCCACTGTAATAATAGTCTTGCATACAGGTGCTGATCATGACCCAGAATTTCAGTGCCTGGACAGATTTTCATGTTGGTATCCCCACAGAACAGTAAGATGCTGAAATTTGACAAGCCCTGTACAGTGAGTTACAAACGTCCAATAGAAACACTCTGCAGTGAAAGCGGTGTGAAAAGATCAAATATCTACAGCTTATCACTGTTAGGGGAAGTTAACATGCAACGCTGCGCAGTGCAGTTTTCAAACAATGCAAAAACACCCAAAGACACATTAGCTTTCTAATTCACTTTCATTGTGAGACTCTGACTTTATGTACCGTGTAAGGCTCTGGTCAATAAATCTAAAATGACTACAAAGTGAGGTCTCCGTGTTTCGTAGTTAGTCCACTAAGTTTATGTATTTAGACAAATTTCTTGTGTGATAATATTAAATCTGCTTTGCTAGTTCCTCTTGAAGAAGTAAAGCGGATGGTGAGTCCTGAAATGCTACAATTCATAATTTTGCATTTTTCTAAAATCTTTCATAAACCCTGTTCCCTGGAAACTGGTGTCTTTGTTGATGTTTTTAATAAAGAAATCATTCATATAGAAATGTCACTGTTCTCAATCTGTTTTTTTGGTGACATAAGGGTGAGAACAGTGACATTTCTATATGAATGATTTCTTTATTAAAAACATCAATGATGTGGTAAAAAAAATAGCACAAATATTTTAATACCTAAAATGCCATAATTACATTAAATATTTAGCCAACCACTCTGGATCTGTAAATTTGTACATGTAATCACTTGTCATGATAAATTTTACTGTTATAACACTGAACATTTAGACACCTCTTGGAGAAAAACTGTGGCCATTAATAGCTGTTCGTCATAATGAGATATTAACCTTACTGATGCTTCAGCAGACAAAGTGGTGAGTAAATAATATATGGTTTAATGGAGAAGTTTCCATACAAGCCGGAGCATGTGTCACTGTCAGTAATGCTGAAACACCAAATTGTGGGTACAAGGTTTATGCAGGACACTAATGACAGTTGTTGTTATGCATGGTCTGGCTGAAAATACTTGTAAAATATATTCTTGCTAACATCACGCAGATGTTTTGTGTTTCTTGACACATTTTTAGAAAAATAATCCTGCAATGTGCCGGATTTTGTAATGTACTGATGCTCCACTGGATGGTGCTACTACACTTTACAACTACTACCATGACACAGGCTGCATCCACTTTACACTGTCAAAATGCTCTGCATGTTGAGGGAATGAGAATGGTCTACTATTAGATTTGCTAAAAAAAATTTTAAATGGATTTTTAAAGCTTCACAGAAGTTACAGCTATGATGCTTTTTTAATTAAACTGGTAATTAGCACCAAATTACATATATACAGTATGTCATCCTGATTTAACTCGGTATACTGTCCCAAAGAAGGCATTTACATTGACCAGCACTTACATTCCTGATGCACTAGAGGGCAGTGTGTGACTACAAAGACCAAAGATGTACCTGTTTGGATGAACTTGTATTCAGACTTCAAAAGCTGGTGTCTCCATTACCCCATGATTTTTCTGATTCGAAGGTGGATTTCTTTGCAGCTCCTAGAGGAATTAGATGGACACAGATTAAATGATAGGCCAAACCTCTTTTATTATCATCACGGTCCTCTTTATATAAGGTGAACAACGATTAGAGGTCAGCCCACTAAATGCTGTGCAGCGGCTGCCTGAAGTGGAATGTTCAGAAGATAAAATAAAGCCTAATATTCTTCCAAAAGGCTCATTTAAAGTAAAACGCCACATTTTTGCAAAAAAGATGAACCTGGCCTTACCTTTGATGACATCAAGAGTACACCTCTGTGTGTTCAGTGCGGCTCTTACAAGGCTTTAAGCACTGCCTGCTAAAAACACAATGTCCTTACAGTGGCAGCAGTCATCAGTTCCATCAGTGTTTTTATTATATTATGGGAATATTCAAAAACTTTTGTCACCACTGTGCTGCACCCCCACCTCTATGTTAGAGCCTATCCTGAACTGGTGCATTTCATATAACCCTTCCTGGTCCTTTAGACCAGCAGGCTAACAGGCTGTTAACAAACAATAAAAAACACATCCCCACCTGAAAATGTTTCCGCGGCTATGCTCTTGTTAGTGACTTCTACAGTTTGTGTAGATGACACTTTTCCTTTTCAGCCACTGAAAACAAACACTCAAAAAAGCTGATGCGCTCAGAAATTTGAACAAATATTTCCCCTTTACCCGTTTTCCAGGAAAGACCTACAGTACAGTACCAGAGCAGGCCAAGGTGAGAGGAGAAAACGTACAGGTTTTCATCTGGAGTTTTAATCGGCCTGTAATGAGCATAAAACAGACAGTTTATACACTATGATTATTAACCAGCTATACCAATACTGGACACACAGAAGATGTTCATCTTGTGTCCTCCCATGTCCCACTCACTACATGTTGGTGTACTACTTCACCTGTTTCACCATTAAAGCAGCAGTGTAAAGAGCAGAAGTTCAGTTGAGTGCACAACCATAAACCCCTCTTTCCCCTAAATATCCTAATATATATATGAGACAAAACAGCTAATTACAGCATTAATCTAAGTCTCATTTTGGATTGGTCAAGGCATTCAAGCATTCCATGTTTATATTACTGGAACAAAAAGTCTCTTCAGCTACCATATTAACATGTGTAGACAGTAGATAAAGATAAACAACAGAGCCTGGCATGATGCAGGCTTGTCATTCAAAACCTCCTAGAGAGCAGAAGCAATTATCCTCTAGTCTACACTGTGATGGCGCTGTCCAGGTGTCAGGTCTAGTGACTTATTGCATGCTCGCTGTCCTCCTAACTGATCCAAGGTGAGTTTCAAACATGCTGGTCCAGTCCAGCAGTCTGGGCTCTTTTGGCGCCCTCATCCACCTCCCACAGCTACATCAAAACACCCCAGGGTCCTCTTCCACCTGCTCCCTGGAGGTAAGCAGTTCATCTGGGTTTGGTTCCTCCTACTCTTGATCCAGGCCTTGTCAGGATGACTGCATGAGGCCCGTCAGTCGTTTGCCTGTGAGTGACTTGCCCTGGGAGAGAACAGAGAGAACGAGGAAGGTGAGGTTGACAGCTGTCCAAAGAGTTCCTGAGGATTTAAAACCAAAGCAGTGTGGGAGGAAAACTGAAAGAAAAGAAATGCCTGATCTGCATAAATGTTTTAAAGCTCAAAATACTAATAAACATTAACAGCATAGATCCAACAGCAATCAAACTCCAAAGCCCGTTGTGTTCAGTACATTGTCTTAATCTCCTTATTTAGCTGTAATTTCACATAAACCCCTCCTTTTATGTATATAACTTCTCCTCCTACAAGCAATTCTTTGTTCATAGTTATACATCTGGACATACAGTATTAATAGTGCAAAGAACACCATGTTCCTCTCAGTCAACAAATCAACAGACCATTCCTTAAAACCAGTATTAGAGAAAGACGACATCCCCTTAGGGAAGGAGCCAACGTGCAGACGCAATAGATGTGCAAGTCTGAGTATCAGTGAAAGTGTCTGAACGTCTGAGAACAGGCGATTGTTACATTAAAATGTATCTTGATTATTAAAGTAAATGAGAGCAGAATAGTAAAACGCCAGCAAGAAACGGCTTCACAGCTCGTGATCTAACACCATACAGGAGCTTAATAACACTTTCTCTGCACCAATGCTCCAGGTTTGTTCCCACAAAAGTGAGTCACTGTAATTTCCCTTTCTATTTTTGGTTGGGGTGACACAGAATGGGTTTGTACTATAGCGTATACAATACTTTGCTGAATGTAGAATTAACACACTGGAAAACTTACTACACTGCGAGTGAACTTCTCCAGCGAGGTGCGTCGCCCCTGCTCCGTTTCAAGCTGGGGGGGCAGAAGCAGTAAAAAGTAAGTTCGACACATCTCACACAAACAAATGAAAGTGCTAAAGACTATGAATTTGTTCACATTTAAGGGTCAGTTCACTAAAATTGCAAAACACTGCAATTATTGCTTGTTGCTTGGGTTGGGAATTTGTGAGCCAGCCCCTTTACAAAGCAGCCGTGGTCTGTACACTTCAGTTTGTGCATTGCCAGTGCTGCTATACACACATACTTTCTTCCGTGCCATCAGCAGGTCCTGATACACGTTGGATCGCAGGAAGCGTGCATAGCTGTCACTTTTCATCAGCTTGTAGATGTGGTCCTGATCGGAGAGAGCGAGGGTGAGAGACAGAGAGAAAGTTAGTGAACATGGATGTGAGAAAATGTTTTAGGAGGAGGAAGGAGGGTGGGTAATTCTAAACTGCTGCTGTGCTAAACAAGATCGTCACCGAGGGAGAACGATGGTTATAGCAACATAATGAAAGGAGAAATCATTTCTTTTTTATTTAGCTTTACTCTTATAACAGGAGAGGAGATTTAATAGACGCCACCCAACCCCCAACACTTCCTTCCTCCCAGTGAAGCGTATTCTTTAGACATCACTCTGCAATATAAACCCATTAGCTGATAGTGGTGGAGCGTGTAAGAAAGACAAATGGGGTGGCCAACAGTGTAGGATAGAGTTTGTGAAGAGGCACCACTGACACTGATCACCTGAAGCAATATAAATTAAAAGGGAGCTACAACCACTCTGAATGGAAGAGAGGGTGCACATGCTAAGACTTCTCATTAGTCACACTTAGCTCTTTGACCTCAATAAGAAAAAGTATTAGCAGGTTATTATATGTTGCAAGAAAATCACGAAGCCTTTAGGGAGTTTGGTCCTGTGTGTGTTGATGCTGTCTGGTCTGAGGTGCCTCGGGTTGTAGCCTGAACAGAATGTGTCCAGGATACTGCTGATCCTTGAGGATGGCCTGTACTTTGTTTCTGCAGCAGTGGGTGTGCTGACTGTCTACGGAGGGCAGATGAGAGCCAGTGATCATCTCTGCAGTATTAATGACTCTCTGGAGAGCTTTTCTCTTACTTCATGTTGTATTTCTATACCACGCAGTAATCGCTCTGGTCAGGATGTTCTTAATACGTCATCTGTAGACCTTGGCGAGGGGCTGATGGCTAAGCCCTACTTTTTTTTTAAACAGCCATACAAGGTAAAGCTGCTGCTGAGCTTTCTTTACTGTGACCATGGTACTGGAGATTTGAACCTGTGCACCTGCTCAGGCTGTGCAATCTGGTGCAGGATGATGTGCAGACAGCTATGTCTCAGAGCTTTACTCTTTATCCATTGTATTCTGTATAATAAAAGGCAACAAGTGTATCATTTATGTGTATTATTGAATTTCATTTCAGACAGGCAGGTTAACATTTCACCTGACAGGCTAGGATGAGGAGGGTTTGGCTCTTACTCTAAATGCCACTGGATTATTTAAATGTAATTTATACTTACCAGCTGTAGATACTGTTATTCTAGTGTGTGAGTGAACAAGGATTTTAAAGGGATTGTAGTTACAGTTTTTCCTGTGAAATGTTTCATTAATATTGTAAATGTTACCACTGGAGTCCTGTAATATTTATAATGTATAAGGAGAATATTTGACTACTTTTAATGACCAATTTCTAAATATAGTTTTGTGTAATAATAACTTGCTAACAAGGATCTACAAGTGGAACAAATTTCTCTCTTCATGTGTCTGTTATTTCCTAACCTGCGCGTCCTCATAGCTGTATCGTCCGGGGTCTTTCAGGTTCTGACTGGTGCGTTCGTAGCTGTGCGAGTCCAGATTGATGGGGCTGGGGGCTCCTTCTGCCAGGAACTCTGCCCAAATGTCCTGCGCCCTCTGTGCAACATCTTGCTGTGGCATCTTCTTCAGGTCCTGAACTGCCAACCAGAACCTGCCACAGGATAAATCATATGCACCTCAGATACTGATTTGATTTTAAAAGTACCTAAACAATTCCTAAAGCCATTTTTAGGCATTAATTTGAGATATTTCAATAAGACGTTCTCAGAGTAAAAAGGTGGCTAAATGCAGGAAAGCAGGTTGTAAATATCACAGTTTGACTGCCTCCAGGAGGAATCTGTCATGGTCTTCATCTGTTTGGATCTGTGGAGTGTTTGAGCACTAATATAGAGAGAAACGCGTCTGGGATCTGCTTCTGACTTTTCACTCAGTGTCACTCTCTTTCTGTAGTGCTCCCCTAGAAGCTCCCTCATAAACCAAAAGCAATTAAAGATCAGGAAAAAGGGGAACAAGAGGGATAGCATGGAGAGCCTGGGTGTCTGAGAATATGTGTTGTTTAAGGGATTTATCTCAAACCAATTGGTTTTCAGCTGTGAAATGGGGAAGCAAATGGATGAATGACTATGAGTGCATATTATACTTCAGCTAGAAAGTGCTTTGTGTGTTTCATTAAATAGCAACGAATGTCATATATGAAGAACAAAGTCAAATGCTACCTTCCACCAAAACAATGCAGTGGTTAAAGGATTAGTTAGATGATGTCGAGCCTCTTGTTTTAAATTAGCTGGTAAGAATTTGGGGCTGATCCCTGAAAAAAACCTTCATTTTTGATCAAAATATGAATGAATGTTTTGTGGCTTTTTCAGAGCTGTGCAAGTTTGAGTATTAATTATACAGTGATTCAATAAGTATTCAGAGCCTTTCAAGTTTTCCACTTTTTATGTTTCAGACTCATCTTGAAATAGATTCTTTTTCCTCATCATCTACATACAATACTTCACAATGATAAAGTGAAAACAGGTTTTTGGAGTGTTTTGTCATTTTACTACAAATAAAAGACCCTTTGTTTTGACACTTGTACTTCAGCTGTGGTGCTTCCTACTCCCATCAATAGTCCCTGAGATGCTTCTGCAGCTTGATTACAGTCCACCCTTGTTTCATCTGGTGTTCTTACCGCAGGTTTTCAGAGCTAAACTCTGACTCCAGGAACTTGAGGAAGAGCTTCTGTCCTACCAGGTCCTTCAGTGCCTCCTCCAGAGAGAAACCCCACTTCTTTACTCTCTGCTGACTGGGCTCCTTACTGGGAGAGATGGGGGAGGGTGGAAAAAAAAAAGAGATGGAGGCAGTATGAACATCCACTTGAAGCTGCTGCAGGTCGAGATTACAAAGAGATTGGAAGAGATTAAAATACAAGGATATGGTGGAGAGAGGTTCAATGCAGGGAGAGCTGACAGATGAATGGTTTTACAACAGTAAAACCTATCATTTAATTGGAAGATAGATGAAGGGGTCGCTGGACCCTCAGATGTATGAAGAAGAAACACGCAGGTATATTGATATCTGTGACGGCAGATGAGCGTTTGACCCATGTACGGAATGAGGCAAGTGATTTGTTACAGAAGTTAATAGATTTTGAGGGACTGGAGATGGAACTGAACACAATTGGAAATACTGAAATTCATTATCATGAACCGGACGAAGATTTTGACCCTGAAAAAAGCTTTTTTAAGAACTCTGAAAATAACTGCAAGTATTACACGGATGAGCAGTTTAACAGTAATGTCAAGACTGAAAACAAATTATCACTAATTCACTTTAATAGCAGAAGTTTATACGCAAACTTTCAGAGTATAAAACATTATCTTAGTAGTCTAAAACGTTCTTTTAATATAATTGCTATTTCTGAGACTTGGATTAACACTGTAAGAGGATTAACACTGACCTTGAAGGCTATGACTTGGTATGCACAAACAGAGAGAATAAGATGGGAGGTGGTGTGGCCTTGTACATAGATAAAAACTTTTGT